GAAGTGCAGGTGGTGAACATTTCTAACGACAATTCTAATTATATATATATCTATTATCGCTCTTTCGTGACTGACTTTCCTCGTAATTTCTGATCACCGTGCGATGAGCAGAATACACTCGTAATTTGTGTTGACATATTAAAAGTTGAAGTTTTCTGGTTAACAGGCCAAACATATTACGGAATCAAAGCAATGCATCAGTCACACAGACAATGCCATACGACATACACATACATACACAACACAACGATGCCAGAGGCGGGACTCTAACCCGTGATCTTCAGGTCCGAGACCACTACGGCACTACTGCCTTAGCGATCTCGGCCATCCGATCGACTTAATAATAATAATAATAATAATAATAATAATAATAATAATAATAATAATAATTATTATTATTATTATTATTATTATTATATACTCCAGGTGCTCTCAGTTTTAAAGAAATTTTTCTTAAGAACATTAAATGAAAAACTAAATGGATGAATATAATTTGCCGTTTGAAATGTCGGCTTCAACTTTAAAACGAGATGGGCGTCATGTTTCGTATATGGCTTTCTGTCGTGTCCTATGCGGGTCAGCACCCAACTCTCGAGAAGATATTGAAAAAAAGGATCTTGATAACTCCGTTCGTGCCGATAATTATAATTATTACAAGTGTTGATGTTATTGGTTTAGGATCGGCACAAGCACATTTATCACGATTATTTTTCGTTTTTGTAAGTCGTACCTAGTCTTCGCACGCGAGTAGGATATTATAATGAGACTTGTGACGTCTGGTGGTTTTATTAGGCGATAAAAAAATTCAATAGCTAGTGAATCCAAGCGAAAATTTTCACGAAAAAATTGCTCCCGCGACCTCCAAGACATGCATAAGCGTACGCCTTTGAACGTCTTCCAGCAGAACGGAAATTTCAGAAGTGGCTGACCAGACTGAACTTTCTAGCAAATATTCTGGGAGCAGATTTTAAATGGTTACCACAAATATCTGTTATTTCTTACATTAATCACAATATTACACAATTATCTCCGCTCGTCGAGTAGTCTATCGCTGAAATAAGAGTCAACTCGCCACTTTGTCATGTGGTTCAGTGCAAAACGGGAATTTTTTTTTTCCATCAGTGGTCTAACATGAGGGGACAAAGACACTATTCATTACAGAAAAACAAATAAAATGTAAATAAAAGACTAGCTGGACGCTGGCGAACTTCGAAGATTATTGTTTTGAAAGAAAATTAGTTGTGCTACGGATTGGCACTAACTTTCACGCACCCACACGTCCGAACCCACACGTATGTATTTAAATGGATGTTGGTTTGTTCGTGATCGGTAAACTACCGTGCCACCGAATTTCGTGAAATTTGGCACACCTACGAGTTTATTCATTAAGAAGATTTTCCATTTTGTCGTAACGCCACTAGATGGCGTAGCAGTTAAATGCAATTCCCAAGCCACTCCTGTTGTATTGAGCCAGGGTTTCATTGTTGGGCGTTGCGATGTGTCGCGGTGACGAGGGGGCGTCGTGGGATGTTGACGGGGCGAAACATAGCCAGGGAGACGACAGCCAGGGAGACGACAGCCAGGGAGACGACAGCCAGGGAGAGATTGCGGTGCGAGTACAGCCAGGACACAGCGGGTAACACGGAGCGGGAAGACGGCGACGGGGCGTAATTCTGCTGGAGTACGATATCGACTACAGCTGGGTCAGCAGAACGGCAGGACAAACCTAAGTGAGGAACTCAGGAGAGCCAGAATCTAATCTCTTCAATTCTGCGCGCGCATCGCAACAAATTCCACATGAGAAGTCTTCTTACGGGACGAAAATGACATATCTTCGACCGGTACAGCAGACAAACTCTCGCCCAGCGTCTTTTAAAATGCGCTATGGTTCACCGCTACGGTCGGGTTCGGAAAAGTTTTATTATACTTCAGCTTCTTTCACTAAGGCACGTTTTCAGTTACTCAACACCCACTTTTTCATATATTATTTTTAATGACTTCACTATGGGACTGCGATTTACAAAAAAACTACCTTCAAAAACTCAACTTCGGTGCTACTGTTTTTCAGGCCTATATTGTGAGCGTGTTGGAGCTAAAATGAGCAAGAAAGCCGTTGATTGCCTTTTTGCCTCCGAATTCATCCACCTAGAATCAACACCGTTAACGGCGAGAGCAAATGCAATGCCTAACTGCTCGGGCGTATTATTGATTGGGAGGTCACAAATTCCATCCCGGTCGGAATCGAATTCGCCAGCCCACCCTGCTCTGATCGGTTGATTGAAGAATCCGGATCGGGAGAGGTAGCTCAGGGCATCAACCGATGACACCGCGGTGCCTGTGAAAGGGAGGTCCTGACGTCTGAGTCCCACACGGTGTCCGGATTTTCGACATTAAGCTTGTCAGCTAGGTCGCGATCAGTAGCATAGAGAATTCTACCGGCCGACTGCTCTGATCGGTAGTTTTCCGTGGTTTCTCCGATCAACACCAGGGGAATACCAGAGCAGTATCATTACAAACGGGCCACGGATCGCGCGCAATCTTTCCTTCCTCCCTTGTCCTATCCTCATCACTTACTTACACTAACATTCCCTACACTGCCACACTTGTCGGGAACTTAAGAGCTTGTCCCAACTGGCGCGGTGCACAACAGATTTGGAGATACCTGGTTGGGAAAACCCCGCTAGCCGACGGCAGATCGGCGCCACATTTCGTCATCCAACGGGGGCAAGATTACCGCCACCTCCAGAGCAAAAACATCCTCTACACTTACGGGACTAATGACATCTGCAGTTCGTGCCCGGAATCACTAGTAATCAATCAATCATTGACGTATCCGGGACACCATCAATAGTTACGTTCATTAATCCCTTTGGGGCAGTGGATCTTCTATTCCAGAAGGGGGCGGTGATTCCTACAGCCCTGTATGGTGATATCCCGCCCTGACGTACGTCCACTTGCCGAGGATTTCCCACTGCAGGTATCTCCGCGGCAGCGGATTGGCAGCGTTTGATTATCTGGGATTTTGGAACGCGGTCGGACACGCTTAGACCCCTGCCGCTCGCATTTCGTGGAAGTCCGCCCGCCTTCGGGAGTTTTCGCTCCCCTTGCCTTTGTTTATCGGACGAGGAAAACTGTCGCCAAAGGCTGAGTCTTAACTGACGGTCCCGCGGAATCCGCCGCTGCGTCTAGCGCGGAACTTTCCGCGCCGCCCCGCTGCGGATCTCCCGCGCCGGGTTGTGAGAACCTTTACTATGAGAACATTTCTTTTGCTGAGTGATCTGTATAGTACTAACTCTGGTACCTACTTATATGGTTTCTATCCAAAAATTGTTCAGAAAATTGTGGAAATTGTCACGTGGAGTACTGCCATGAAATAAGGAAATGAGAATAATATTGCACACTTCTTGTAAGCAACGCAGCCAAAAAGCACTTACAAGCATGACACTTTGTGTACACTACATGGGAGGGAATTAGTCATTAAAGGTATTCAATTAGCCTCAATTGTAGCAAGGAGGCACTAATGTGGAGGGATATATATTTTAAATATGGGCTTCTAAATGTTCTTCAGAGATACCGCTATACTGGTATCTAGTTGCCAATCTTGTTGGGTGGTTAAGTGTTATATTTGGTCTTGCACCAAGGCAAAAATTCATTTACTACACTAGAAGACCATCTTGTTTTGTAACACAGTCTTTTTCGAAACATTGTAAATATTGTGAAAGGTGATCTGAATATGCTATGAGTTTATGCATGTGTATCAAAATTACATGTTCCCTATGGGTATCAGTATACACACCCTGGGGGTTGACTAAATTTTGGAGGGGGTCAATGATAATTAAGGAGGGCGATTAGGGGTCAATAGCCGAATTTGAAGCAGTGCCTGATCAGGATCAACAAGAACCCATTGATTACCAAAAAATATTAACGAACTTCATTAACTTTTTTTCTGACACAAAGCGACAAAACGACTGATAATGTATTATGATATTCATTGCAAATAATAAAACAATCAATTACAAATTAGCACCTCTTATTTTGTACCTGTTGTTCACCCTTAGGAATTTGGATGTCCCGAAAATTCAATACATTTTAACTCGGCATTTACAACGATTTTCTAATGAGCAAGAAAGTACTCTTTGCAATATGCATTAGAGAAATGTAATGTTCACTCCTTAAAAAATTCAACATTTTGTAACAACTGCATTTCAATAACAATTACAAACTCAGCTAAAAAGCAGAAGCATCTTTGAGAATTGGAAAAATCAAGATATTTGTATATGTACAAAATTGTCATTTTTAAAGCATTTATGTGCATTAGGCAATTCTGTGCATTAGGCAATTCTGTGCATATGTGATTATATTTGTATATTATAAAGAAATATAAGTGGGTCAATGAAAGGAAAAGGTTGGGAACACCTGATGTAGATAATTTGATCCACTAACAGAACGTTACACACACCTCTACAGCTACGATATGCTCGCTGACCTTGCTCTGAAGGAAGAAAAAATTAAAGTACAAAAACACTGAAGTGAAAAGGCAGATGAAATATGATTTATCTTGTCTTTGTCCATATGGAGGTAGGTCAGTATTACTTATGAGATTAAAAGGTATATTATTCACTTATCAAAATTTACATCACAAACGATATTGCATGTTAGAAATGAACTTTTTTAATAAGGAAGATAATTATATAAGAAACTTCAAGCAGAAGACAGGGAAATTATATTTACCAAGACATACGAAGGATTTAGCCAATTTGGAGGGGGAAAAATTTCCTTGAAATTGTTTTAAGAAGACTGTTTTACTAAGATACTACTTAATGAAGCAAGTGATGCCAGAAGAATTTAAGAGCAAAAGTATTTGAGAACAAAATGTATTAATAGATCTCAACTTCATGGAACTCAAATTTAGTTAGTGAGTTAGTGAAAGCTAGAACTGCCTCCATTTACACAGAGGACCACAAAATCATAAGAAATGAAGGATACAAAACAGAACTTACCTTCACAGCATTTTTGTCCTGAATGAACACAGATCGCAGCTGCCCATTCAACTCAAAGAAAACTTCACGGTCCCCGTTGGGCCTGAGGTCCTCAGCCATTGCCAGGGTCTTGATGCCCAGCGTCTTGCCTCGCTCTATCGTAACCTATAAATTATAACAAATTCAATACTGCAAAAATATGAAACACTTAAAACTACATCTATACTTGATGTGAACTATATTTTGCATCTTGTAAAGAGAGAATGTGGAAAAGACTACATAACTTCTTTAGTAGAAAATGCAAGCCCCTCTGAATACTAACTCATGCTCTTTACATGTTCATTTTTATTTGGTTCATTTTAAGCTCAAAATTGACTATGGCGGGCCAACTGAAAACATTACCACTCACCTCGAACTCCTCACCAACTTTAGGTCCTGTCAGGAAGATACGGGTATCTAACTTGTCAACAGGTCCATATTTGTCTCTGAACGTCAGGAAGTCTTCAGTAACCTGTAGACCACAAGATAGTGTTATACTTTAATATATTTGTATTAAAATATATACAACAAAAATCTGCATTTGTTCATCAATAATAATTTACATAACCAATGAAGGCAGAATATGGCATTACTGCAACAACACTCGTCTGTAAATTATTCACAGATTATTTAAGAAACTACACATTTTATTTATTGAATCATTTAAAACTTATTTAAAATTATTTCTTTAAAGAAAATTATCAATTACATTCAAGACTGTTTGTATAAATGAAACAAAAACTGAAGATTTTCAGCATGTGTATCTCTGAAGTTTCAAAATCCCAGACAATGTGAATTCTGAATATATTTAATAGGCATTTTGTAGCTGGTAACAGACAAAAAATACTGGTGCATTTTTGTGAAAATTGTAGCAAAATCAATACCCACAATACACTACATTATGAAACATTGTAAGAGAGTCAATCACCTTTGGATAGAGAGCGGCGCTCATGACATCGCGGTCAGAGATGTCTGGATGCCGCGAAGCCAGGTCAGTCTTGAGGGCACCAAGGTCAAGAGGAGGCATGGAAGCTCCAGGTCGACCTTGCACTCGCGGCATGGCCTTGAGGACACGCGAGCGGAAGGGCTCAGGGAACCTGCACACCAAAGGCACAAATTTCGCCTGTTTTGTCTGGAGTATTTCTAGACCATGAGGTGTGAGGACGGAATATCAGCCACGCTTGGCCATAAGGATGGCAGTGTGATTTGAAAGAGAGGAGCAAATGCCATCCGGAAGTTAGTTTTTAGGTACTGCTCCAGCATTCACCTGAAAATGAATTAGTGAACCAAGAAAAATGACTGATCACAGAAGCCTGCTTGTGGCACTCTCATTCAAGTATATTTAAATAGTGGTTTTCCTGCTCAGCTGCTTACAAAAATATGCCAAGATAGAAACTTGATTGCAGGGAGATTCTGCCTCAAGAACCTTCAGTTGTTCCAACTGCACTTGCTAAGGCTACATGATTTGACTGGATGACCTACTCTCTTTAAATTCAAGAAAAATAACGCACTGGTTTAAAAATATTTCTGACATCGTTGTTCAAGGCTTTCTTTGGTGAATTTACAAACCTCCTTAACAACCTGGGTGACTTGATAAGCCAAGGCACTTTATTGGTCAGCTATTTCTCAAATTTTTGTCTAATGATAATTATTCTCAAACAATTATTTATGGAAAACTGATTTTGATTAAGAGTCAATTGTAGTGAAACGTAATTGTATTTTAATTTTTTTTTACCAGCAGAGGAAAAGTAGTTTTTGATCAATCTACAAACGAAAGAGAATTTTATGTTAACTTTTCGATTCTTAAGTGTCAGTATTGTGCTTAGGTTTGGAACATGGATGCAGATAATCACGGATTGCAACACACAATTACCTATTTGTCAGTGAAATAAATTTTCTGGTTAAAAATTAATGGTTTCATTATAAATAAACTGAATCTGTCCCGCATAAATATTGTCTATCCTTTAACAGCTGCCCCCATTGCCTTTAGTGAAGTCTACCCCTAGCCATAGAACACACAGGCATGATTTATCACTTACCCTCCGTATGGTTCACCAATGTTGCCCTGCAGGAACTCAACAACCGATCGTGGAAAACTCAACTCCTCCGCCTGCTCCATCACATCAGCAGATGTCAACTTGTTCTGCACCATGAACTGGGCAAGGTCACCAACAACTTTCGATGATGGGGTCACCTGGTGAAAAACAAAAATTGTATAGTGAAAGTGAAATGTTCACTCTACAACGAACAAAAATTGGGAAGATTTTCAAACTGTATCATTATAGTTAAGCTAATAAGTCAAGTATTATTTGAATGTAGTTCTCATTAAGTAAATCCACCAGTCACAAAAGACTAATAGGAAAAGTGAGTACATCTAAAATTAATGAATCTGATTTGCAAACTTATGCAAAAAATAAATAAAATATAAACATAATGAAGTTAAAACAATAATGAAAATTAATTCAAAGAAATTCAAATTTAATGACCAAGTATGACCGATCAAACTTTTATGAAGAGCAGACATTTTAAAGTATCAAATTATTGATAATGAAAATCCTTGTATTGTAATGTGTGAACAAAATCAAGTATCAGTTTTTTCCTCCCAAAAATCTTATGATTTTTCCACATATTTTATATTTTTTGACTTTTACACTTTTTTAAGATTCCCAATTTTCAAAATATAACTGAGACTCAAAAGTAACAGTAATATTCTTCAACCCACCTTGATTATGTCACCCAGAAGCAAATTTGCCTCGCGATAAGCCTTCTTGACGTCCTCAAAGAAGTCTCCCAAGCCGAGGGAATAAGCTTGGAATTGAAGGTTGGTGTATTGTCCTCCAGGAATCTCATTCAGGTACACATCAGCATTGCCAGACTTCATTGTTGTTGCGCACTCAAACGGAGCGTACAGTGTTCTCGCTTGTTCCCAGTACGCTGAATACTCACTTATGTGCGGCAACTGCAACCCTGTCAAAAAAGTAAATAAGATTAAGCAACACCGATAAAAAAGAGAACATTTCGTTCTTAACTTGCTGATCTTATAATTAAAAAAAAAAAATCATATGCTCGCACAACAAATTATAAGTTATATTTATGAAAATTACAACACTAAAGAATAATCTTCCTTTTTCTTAATTCACACTATCTGCACAGGCAGGCTCTATTAGATACAAACTAAATTTGATGCCTCATTTTATTGAAAAATTAGTATTTTTTGTGAAATATTCCTACTGCAGTTTTAAGCAATGTCTTCTTAAATACATTTGTCTCTACAGGCAGAAAAAATCCACACGGAACTCTCAAGTAACTTATGTCGCCAAAACTTTGCATTTATGTCTACATTTTTAGACTTTAAATAATTAAAACGTAGAACGGTACAAGGAGGTAAATTATAACTTAACCAAAATTATGACTACCCCACTACCACTCACCCTGGCACCTGCTTTCTCTTTGCGGAGAGGGGCGTGTGATAGTGAAAATCCCACTTCACCAGAATTTGCAAGTGTAGTCACGTGACTAGCATCTCAAGGTTAATCGGTCACGTGATGACGCTACATGTATTTTTTCCTTTTGGCGACAGAGTGTGCTGCTAAATTTATATTCTCAAGAAGCAACAACCCGTCGGTGACTTCACAGCAGTGTTGCCAGATGCCCAAAGAGGGAATGAGAAAACGGAACTGCGCAAATGCAGAATTTTCTACATAAACCCCGCGAAAACGAAATGAGCATAAAAAAATGTCTGAAATAGCCTTTTTAACTCATAATTTCAACTTATTTTTAACATTATATATATATATATCCGCGCTACCAACGACCCCCTCACCCACGTCCGCGCTCCAACGGAACCCCCTCACCCACGTCCGCGCCTCCAACGGACCCCTCGACCCACGTCCGCCTCCAAACCGACCCCCTCACCCCACCGTCCCGCGCCTCCAACGGACCCCCTCACCCACGCTCGCGCTCCAACGGACCCCCTCAAAACCCACGTCCGCGCTCCAACGGACCCCCTCACCCACGTCCGCGCTCCAACGGACCCCCTCACCCACGTCCGCGCTTCCAACGGACCCCCTCCACCCACGTCCGCGCTCCCAACGGACCCCCTCACCCAACGTCGCGCTCCAACGGACCCCCTCAACCCACGGTTCCGCGCCTCCAAGCGACCCCTCTCACCCAACGTCGGCGCTCCAACGGGACCCCATCACCCACGGTCCGCGCTCCAACGCGGACCCCCTCACCCACGTCCGCGCTCCAACGGACCCCCTCACCCACGTCCGCGCTCCAACGGAACCCCCTCACCCACCGTCCGCGCGGTCCAACGGACCCCCTCACCACGTCCGCGCTGCCAACGGACCCCCTCACCCACGTCCGTCGCTCCAACGACACCCCTCACCCCACGTCCGCGCTCCAACGGACCCCCTCACCCACGTCCCGCGCCTCCAAACGGACCCCCTCACCCACGCGTCCGGCTTCCAACGGACCCCCTCACCCACGTCCGCGCTCCAACGGGACCCGCCTCACCCACGTCCGGCTCCAACGGGACCCCTCACCCACGTCCGCCGCTCCAACGGACCCCCTCACCCACGTCGCGCGCTCCAACGGACCCCCTCACCACCGTCCGCGCTCCAACGGCACCCCCTCACCCACGTCCGGCGGCTTCCAACGGAACCCCCCCCTCAACCCACGTCCGCGCTCCAAGCGGGACCCCCTCACACCACAGTCCGCGCTCCACGGACCCCCCCCCCTCACCCACGTCCGCGCTCCAAGCGGACCCCCCCCCTCACCACGTCCCGCGCTCAACGGACCCCCTCCACCCACGTCCGCGCTCGCAACGCGACCCCCTCCCCCACGTCCGCGCCCGAACGCGCCACTCAAAGTACGCCGCTCCGAGCGGCCCCGCCGAGCGCACTCACCGGTGTCGAGCGGCGTGCCCTGCAGCGCGGCCACGAATGGCGCCCATGCTGGGCTGCGACGTCATCCCGACATGGAGTCCACCGCCACGTCCACCACGTCGGCGCCGGCCCGGCCGCCCCAGCATCGGCGCCACGCCCGCGCCGGCCGTGTCGTGCGTGTGCACGTGCAGCGGCACGTGCGGGTGGCGGTCGCGCAGCGCCTGCCACCGAGCAGGCCGCCGAGCCGACGGGCTTCAAGCAGGCCGCCATGTCCTGCCAACACACGAGACAATAAATACTAATAATAATAATAATAATAATATATATATTAATTAATAATAATATATAATAATAATAATAAAATAATAATATAATAATTAATATAATAATTAATAGATTAATAATAATAAATATAATAATATAATAATTAATAAAAATATATTAATTAATAATAATAATAATAATAATAAATAATAATATAATTAATAATATTATAATAATAATAATTAATAATAATAATAATAATAATAATAATAATAATAATGTATAATAAATAAAATTATATTTTATATACAGAGTTTAGGAAAGTCCACTCCGCCATGAATCTAGTCAGGAGCTTCCTATTAAAAATCGAATTTTTGTTATGAAAGGTGCCTGATGGCAGCTTGTAGTACGGTTGCACTGAATTGATGTGTATCAGATCTCATTTCTATATTGGGGAATTTTCGTTTCATCTGTAATTAAATTCATACATTAGTAGTTAGAAATTA